TTTCACTTTTCTTTTCCTCTTTCTCAATGGAACAACATTCCATTCGATATTCTTTGTGTATAACACTTTCAAGTTTCATTTATCTTTATATTTCTATTCATGTATTACTCATTCGTTTTAAGTAGTAGTAACCCCTACTGACGTATCGTCATGCTATTCTCCCTAGTATATTCATATATATATTATGCTGTCTTATCGCATCTTTCAATAAGAACGTTTCTTGTTTGTTGTTGTTGTTGTTTGTTCTTTTTTATTGAGAAAGATTAATTTATTACTACAGGCATTTATCAAATTGTGTTGATTTCATTAAAAGAAAACTTTTTATAACTACAATAGCTTCTTTTTTACTTTCTCTCATTGTTATTGTTTTGATTGATGATGTGATTTTATCTTTACTTTGTTTCATTGTTTATAATAATCTAAATTGATTATATAAAATGGGTAGATGAATATTAGTAGGAAGGTGTAAACCTATCAATTTTGAATTAGATAAGTACACATAGAAGATATTTCTAACCTAGATCGGATGATGATGATGACAGCAACCGATGGTTAGAGACCTTGAATGACATGGCTCAAAATCGTTTGCAATGGCGCAGGTGCATCCATTGTTTGTGTTCTCCCAAGTTCTAATCTCCTGATTCCTCCTAGTCTTCTTTTTTTCTCTCTTCCCAAATTTATTTCACTAGATTATACTCCTTGAATAACACCTTCAAACCCTAATGCTTTCGATAACTGCTTATACTCTTACTACCTCTAACCACCATGGGATTTGAATCGACAACTGCATCTCTGTTCTAATGTGGTATGGCAACTCGAACTGATGTACGTACGTATGTTAGGTTTGAAAGCTTCACAAGTTCACTTAAATCTGCGAACGAGAACAAGACCAAGTGACCAAAGACCAGTAATCTAACTATTGATGCGTTCCAGCCCCGCTATCTAGAAGGAGAAGTCCAAGTTTGGTATGGAAAATATATTTTGCAAACAGCCAGAAACGAGCCCACAAACACAATTTAAAACGTATATATACAAACATATTTTAATCGATATTGTCATAGTGAAATGTTTTTAAACTTTACTCATTAAGTTCATCACTCGACAGGCATTTATATATTTAATCGATCAGTTCGTCAATTGACTGCTATTTAATCGATATGATAAAATTACAAATATGAATTTTGGGGATATACCGTCCCCAACAACGTACGAAGTTCTACGTTGTTGTTGACTGACTGAGATAGGAAAATATGTGGAGTGAGATGTTGATTAGATGCATTGTGGAATAATCGGCTTCATATCATTGTGTGCTTTGTTTTTACCTAATAAAATGCATTGAGATGGTATTTGGTCATAAGTACATGATATGTGTAATAAATTCAACTAGCCTATCAATGATTCACAGAGTACTATCTGTGATAAATCTAGTACTAGGACGAAATATCCGTCTGGTGTTCCCACATTATTTAGTGGTTGTCTAACTTAGTTTCATGAAAATTCGACAATCTCCACAACCTCGTCATAAAAATCTAGTAAAGACTAAATTTCTGTTGAACGATAGTCTAACCTGTTTCTAGAGTTAAACTCAGATTTATTTCAGATCTTGTTTCCGTTTAGCAATTATAATGTGTGTTCATTGTAAGCTGTCGTTTGAATCATTTATTAATTTTCTATCTTTTAAGTATAGAAAGGACTGTTTCTCAATATCCAACATGTTGCTAAAGTATTGAAATACGAATAAATTTGACTTAAACTGGGATTCAGACTCACATTGGTATATTTAATTTTCTTTAAAAATCTCTTGTAAAAATTATAGTAGTTTGAAACTAATTAAAGAGTTTACATCTACGAAACCTACTAGGATGGTACGTACCTGGAAGCCTGTGTCTTAAAATAGTCTTGTATGCTTCGAGAATCTGATGTTTCCTGTTTTTTTCTTTCCAAGTCAAAGATATAGTTATCTATCAAGATTCATTAAAATGTCCCCTAACTAAACACTGTATGAAACCTGGTGACATTGCAAACCTTCGTTCTAGGAAGTAAGCTGATGTTCTATGTTATCCGTAAACAAACTGCCTAAATCAATCATTTTTAATGAATTTTATGCTAAAAGTGTGCAAGAAAATTAGGGTAATCCCGATACTGTGTCGAGTAATAAAACTATTAATTTCAGGCTCATACCAATGAGTTTTCATTTTCTCTAAACTATAGAAAATCTCCCAATACTGACACTTCCACTTAGACTGAAGAACCGATTTAAACGTCCCATCAAATTTAAATGGTCTCCATTAAATTCAGAAGCTCAAGTTCCATCAAGATTTAATTTGTCAACCAACAAAGTAATTCTTCTAACGGACAAAAGTCTTGCATCAGGCCAAATATAGCTCTTAATTTCATAATGCATATGCCAATCATCCCTGAATTATTGCCCAACTTCAACACCAATAATTAGTTTAATCAGGTATGTAGTGAAGAGGAACAAAAGATAGAAACAATTAATGAGGCTTACTCTGACTAAGGAACGCACTATGATCTGACACAGGATCAAAGGGATTTCAAATTAGAAGACTGATTAGCTTGTTAACGGTTAGATGAGTTGGTCTGAATTCCATGGGATTTCATACGAACAAGCCTCATGATTTCACATATTCTTAGCATTTAACGTAAGACTTACAAACATTGGAATTATTTACATAAAAACGATATGATCTTGTCTTATTTTATGAATTCAGTTATCACTGAAACTCAGTAAGTTTATCTGCTGATGCCAATTAGTTATAACGCAAATGGAAGAATAACCTTCGAATAATGCAGTCTAACTGTGGTGACGTACCACCGGTGAACTCGAGGAAGCTGTGAGAGGCTCAGAAGGAGCCGAAGACGTCTCATCCAATCACCTCTCGGAAGAATATTCTAGAATTCCAACGTGTAGCTTCCCGATTGGATAATGCTAGTAACCCCCTGTATGCGGATTGGAAGACTGTAATGATGATTTCGTCCTCACTAAAAGCTATAAATACCTGACAATTTTGTACTATGATTGACACTGTTTGGAATAATATTCCTTTCGTTAGTCTTCTGTCTTCCTACTGCGACTTGGAAGGGTTTGGTGTTCTAGTTCTCTGTTATACGCAGTAGTATCAAGAAAAATCAACTTTTGAAGATATAACACTAACCGTGATATTGTAAAACCTATACAATTAACTGGGTTTTTTCAACACTCTGATGGACAGACTTGGCAATTATACTGAAATTCTTTACAAAGAATGAAGAAAAAAGTTCTTCACTTTTCAATGGATTATTTTATTGTATTTGATCATCTAGCTTCATTTCATCATGATTAAATATGAAAAAATTATCAGGATAATTCACTTGATATTTGTCGGGTGTGAAACAGTTATCCATCTTAGAAAATGGATGAAGGGTTGTTCAACATCATGGATCGACTGAAGTTATGCATTAACACCGTTGGATACTGGCTCAGTAGTTTAAAGGTTAAGCGTTCGTGCGCGAGACCGAAGGTCCTGAGTCTGATTCCCGCGTGCGAAGATGTGGGTCCCCACTACTGAGAACTCCCATGCTAGAACGGGACGGCTATTCAGTACTTCCAGGTTTCCAATAGTGCTCTAGCTTAGATCGGATCGTGAATTCGACAGTGAAAATACGACAAACCTCCAGACTGAAAAAAACTTTAGCTTGAAATAAACTTTAGTCGTGAAAACGATCGCATGTTTGTGCCGACGATTGCATCACAGGCTATTAGTGCCTTAGCGAGATCTGTGGAGCTTATTGAAATTTATATTTTACATCACGAAGTTCAAACATGGGGTAATTACTCACTAGTGATATTGTAAGATATTTGCTCGATGTAGCAAATTGATTGAAATTTTACAGCTCTGTGATCCAAATGTGAAGCACTTGCTTCAAAACCTGGTGAAAGTCCTCAACTCTACACCCTGTGTTAGGCATGTCGATGTGCACACTGCCCACGAATCCCTCACTAGGATGAAACAGCTGTCCAGTGCATCCTGATTTTTAGCAGGTGTCTAATTGACGTCGGTTTGCAATATAATTTATAAAGTTTGTTAACACCTTCTATTCCGTAAAGTAGGCCAGTTATAACTTCATGGAAAAAGGTGTTACTTACAAATCACCTTTAACTGTGTTCAAATTAATATCTTTGTATTTCGTCTTTCTAATATCCCCTATGAAGAGGTGAGTCAATTGTAAAAGTGTTCGATATTCAGTCACTAAGTAGCATATTCAAGTGTCACCTACTATAGTTGGATGAACCAGTTTTTATCACTAACCTGAAGGAGAAGCATATGTATCTATATCTGATAAATGAGTGAATAGTAATAATCACTACGGGCATTGTCTCGTTTAGTCTAATTTCCATAATCCAGAAATGTATGATTTTTAGCATAATTATCAATATATTTTGTGTATATTTACGTTGTTTTGTAATTCTTCTTTACCATGTTCAGAATTAAATTTATTCATAGAAAGGAATTTAGTGGTTAAATTCATGAGTCAGTTGAAGCTGAACTACCATGAAAAACCTCAGACCACTAGACGGTCATTTCTTACTAGTATCAGACTCGTCAACAGTGCGCATCCACGATCTAGCTCGCGAGATTCGAACCCAGGACTTCCAGTCTCTTGCGTGAACGTTTAACCTCTAGACCACTGAGTCGGTATCTAACGGTGTTAATATCTAACAAAGAAATATAACACGAACGACTATGATATTCTCTAAATTAACTCAATGTAAATGGTTTTCAAAAAAAAAGATTATATCATCACAATCTTAATCGTCAATCACATTCCCAGATGAAGAAACAAACTTTTTTTAAAAACAAAAAAGGAAATATATTTTTCATTCAGTATGGAAAAGTAAACATGATTGATTTTACAGTTTACAAATTAATTTAAACTACTCATTATTGTAGGGTAGTAGTATATTGATGTGCGGAGAAATATTATTATTACTATGTTTACTATTGAGAATTCAATTCTTCCAAAACCGTCGATTTTCCATAGGTTTGTTTATTCTGTTTTAATTTAAGCAAAATTATAGAAAAAAGGACTTATTATTAAACATATATGAGTATACTAAATGATATGAGATTTCATTTATATGAATATGGAAAATTTGAAATCAATGTATTAGCTTCATTTAGTATTATTGTTTTACTTGAATCTTCCCATTGATGTTTAGGACTGCAGTTGATCAGTCTCTTAGTATAGGGGTTGTGGAGATTATTAAGTTTTTGGTTAAGATCATCAACCGATTGATGCTAGACCACCTTTGGAAACCTGGAAGCACTGGACGACCGTTTCGTTCTATTGTGGGACTCCTCAACAGTGCGCAATTTCGTGGATGGGTTGATGTTAGATACTATCACCACTGGATTCCGGCTCAGTGGTCAAGTAGGTTAAGCGTTCTCGCACGAGAATGAAGGCCCTGGGTTCGAATATCGCGAGCGGGATCGTGGATGCGCACTGCCGAGGAGTCCCACAATTGGGCGAAACGGATGTCCAGTGCTTCCAGTTTTCCAAAGGTGGTCTAACATCAATCGGTTCTTGATCAGTCTCTTATTGGTGTATGTGCATACTGTGCGTATTGCCTTGATATAATCTTCATTCACAAGAATTATATGCAAAGACAAATAGTGAGAAGATTTAAGTGAATTTAAATTTCACCCCGCTACCCAAGCATGGGGTATCAAGGCTCAGTAGCTAAGTGGATAATGTGATGGCGTTTGAATCGAAAGGTACTGAGTTCGAGTGACAGGGTGAACATCAACTCTGAGATGCAGGTATATCCACCTGATGAGTCCCAAATAGGACGAAACGCGTGTCTTAGATTCAACTGCTAGCCACTACCTATCTTTGCTTCAAATATATTAGCATTGATTAAGTTATCATAGGTTGGCAATGAAAGATCCTACCAGAAAGATTATGGCTCAATAATCAACAATAATCGTATATCTGATATTACGATAACAACTAATAGTGCTAGAGCTAAATTAACTTTAATTAAAACATGACTGTTGAGACTATAATTTATGGTCGACATTTGAACGACGCTAAAGTGACCTTGAGAGTGTCTACCTACTAACTAGGGCTAAATTAAGGTTATAAAGCAGTTCAGAGAATAAGGATTATAATTTACAGTTGATGGTTAGGGTTAGAAATTAGATTTAGAGTTTTCATCGCGAACTGTCATCAGCTATAGTGCCAAGATGCTATTTGGTCAAATGGGTTGCTCTGGAATGGCTTTCTTGAAGACATTTAAACAACCTACAATAGGATTCACTTGTAATTAGTGAAGGATGTAGATATATGCATCTTATCTCTGGAAAACTTAAATTAAGGACTACAGGAAATTAGCTTAGGCTTCAATATTTCGAAAAAGAATTATGTACCCACACAAACCAATTCGGAAATGTAATGAAACCGGATAGGCTCTAGGATAGATCAGTAGAAGAATATGAATAAATATAGAATAAAGAGTACAACCAATTTTTATATATTGATTGTTCGAATCTTCCCATATATATTTAGTACTGCAACTGAACAGTTTCTTTTGGCATATGTGCATCCTATGCCGATTGCCTCGATATTGCTACTAACTCACAAGCATTTTAATCAATGAAAAGAACCGAGCAATCAGTGTATCTGAATTAAAATTCACTCTATTTGCACGAAACAGTGGCTATCTGGACTCAGTAGCTAAATGAATGAACCGATGGCGAGTAGTACAGGTTTCAAGTCCTGAAATGAACATCAACTCTATGATGCAGGTACATCCAGCTATCAAGTCTCAAATAGGTTGAAACACGCCTCCTAGATTAAGCTGCTAGCCACCATCCTTCTGCTAAGGAATATAACCAATCATATGTCCGACGACAAAGGATTCCATCCAGACTACTCAAACATAAGGTGTAAAAATGTGATACAGTTGACGTGTCATCATACTTTACGAAGGTACTTGAAATAACCGCTTTGTTTTGAATATGATGTAGCTGATTTGATAGGGGTCAGAAGTTTATTGTAATTTACAGTTTAAATGAAAGTAAATATGTGGTATTTTAATGTGCATCGATGGGAATGAAATGCAGATACAATATTTTAAGTATGGTTTTATTCACTGAACTGGAGCATTTAGTCATGGTGGCTTTCATGACCGTTCTTCATAGCATCATAAGCAAAAAATTTATAAGCAGTGAGTTATTAGAACTTCTCCACAAACGACTAACTACTTTTTCTGTTGACCTAGAATTCGGTTAGTTGTTGTCCATAGATGTGTGTAGGTCTGTGGTGAAATAAATCAAAGCACACATACGAACAACCGCTACAGATCTAAGAACAACAATCAACCTAATTCTAAGACAATAGATCAAGTAGTTAGTCGGTTGTGAAGATGTTCTAATAATCCGCTTCTTATTGAATTTTTCGCTGATAATGTCGTCAAGATAGACTGCAAAATACACCACGACTAAATTACCCAGCTCAGACAAAAATACACCCTTGAAACCCTAACCCTATGCTACAATTAGTCTCCATCATATCAAAATCATACAAGCGTTACATGTTTCTCGCTGTTGGGATACAAAGTTTTGAGTCCAAACTTTTTTCACCGTTAAGATTGACAATTTGATTAGCGGATATCAGACACTGCGATATCCAATTTCTGAATATTCACTAAGGTAATGCGGAGTAAACTATACTACATAGCTAAGTAATACATAGTTGTAGTGGATTTTGTTTAGATCTCAGATATGTTGAACCAATTGACAAGAAACTTTACATGACAGTGGTTTCATACATCTAGTGCTCATCGGCAAAGTGTATCTTTAAATTAAAAGAGGGATATCTGTTATCGAATTAAATAGCTTAGGATTAAATAGTTTTGACTAGACCTAAAAATAATTCGATTTGCGATTTTCTAGTTGATAACTATGAAAAAGAGTGAAATCAATATCAAGCCTCCAAATGCCCTGGTACGGCTCAAAGTGGGGAGAGTCAGCTACCCCTCTCCAAATGCTCTCACATGGCCACGCGTATACAGCCTCTGCCAGGGAAGTCCTACTCACTGATTTCTCTCAATGAGGGTGTTGTTTAAGATATTGAGAGGACGGAAAGAGAATGTCCGTAGCTTCGAACGGCCTGGTGGACATGGAGGATTTACTTAGGGGAGTTGGAAAATCCTGATTCCAAACCAACCGTGCACATGGGCTCCAGTATCCTGAATGAATAAACGGTGTATGAACTAATCGTTGGTCACTGACCACCATGAGACTGCATCTGCTGACGTTACTCCACTGCCTTGTGGATCAGACCTGTAGGTCGAAGGCTCCAGGTGTGGCCCCCTCAGAAAACCACCTGCTTCTGTTTGGGCACCCGAGCAATATCCGAGCCGCCACACAAATCGAGTGGCGAATTGTGGTGCATATCTATTTGGTGCCTACTTGTGCCAATATCTATGTGTCAAAATAAATAAATAACTAGAAAAAGAACATACATCTGAAAAATTGACCATGTGGATTTCATGATCCAGTTGTTTATTTGATCCATTCAATTTTGAGTTGTTCAAATGTAGTTTATGATTTGGCGGTTCATTATTCTCAATTTTATTAAATTTTGAACTATTTTTAAAGTTAGAATTAGGATTAAAATATTTTTTTATCATACTATATTGTAGTGGTTGTAGTTTCTCTGTATTAAGATAATATGCTCCAGAAGGATATGTAGATGTGGGTTTCCAAGGTAATGTGATTGAATTATGATGACTTGTGAACATTGAAATATTAGGACATGTTGATTTCTGTATTGTTTCATGCTTAAACAGATTATGAACATTACCATTCATACCATTACTGTAAATATCATCAATTTGTGGTGGTGATGATGATGATGATGATGATGATGATGATAATAAGTACTTCTTTCTTGTTGACCCAGCACTATTACTGAACCTTTTGTAAACAAAACAAAAAAAAGAAAAACACATTAGATAAAAAAATTTCCAGTACTGCCAATTTGTATCTCCTTATTTCCGTTGCTATTTGACTGGTCTTCCCGGTCTACCACATTGTCCGGAGTTTCCATGTAACCATAAAAATTGTTGCGCTAGCCTCGTGGCTTCCGAAGGAACTCAGCTTTGACCATGAGGCGTAATAACTCTTCTAAATGAAGACTATCTAACTATCAGGGCAAAGTTTAAATGATTTGAATTATTTTTTTCTGGTTAGTGTTTTTTAGCGAGTTACTTTTATACGGTATGCGGTCGTTAACCCTATGCCCAACCTTCCTCCTTTACCCTGGCTTGGGATCGGCAGTAACTCTAGAAGAGCTACATGCGAAGTTTTAGATAAGAAATAGTTTAAGGTAAATTTTGTTTACAGTATTTATCAAATTAAGCTTAATAACAAAAAGCAATCTCAAGTGATGTTCCTCATGTCTTCATAATATCAATATGTGAAATCGATTTGATCATTTTCAGCCAGGGAATCAAATTATTTCACTCATTTCTGAAAACTCCCTGAAATAAGCAGATCACATATTTCTGTTTGATGAGGATGCTGATATTATTTAGGGTTTCCAGAACAACTTGACTAACAATGCAGGTACGTTTCGAGAGTTTCTTTTTACGTTGATTCAAATCATAGAGAGTGAAGTAGTTGAGTACATAGAGGGCATTCCACGAAAAGTCCGAAATATAGATCTTCTTTATAAAATATTTTAATCAGATCAGGAAAGATTAATTTAAGCAATAACCATGAGTGTATAAATACGTTCACAATATCGTACAAATTAGGAGACAAACTGACATTTTTAGAAGCAAATAAATCAACATAATACTGCGGTGTGTGCTACTTATGTTGACAGATATAAGTAGTATGTATCGTCAGTCGAAAGTGAAATGCGTGGGGGTAGAAAGTTAAAAAGATCAAAGAAAAAAGAACGAGAACAAAGAATGGTTGGTGGGGGAAACGAAAGGATAATCAAGTCCTGCTCAGCTACAAAAGAACGACAGATTATTAGCTACAATTTATAAGAGATTAGTTTAGTTCATTTAAGCAAAACAACTTTATCTGATGATTACTGTGGAAATTCATGAATAAACTTGCAGGATCACAAATCAAGAAGTAAACATCCATATAAGGTCACAATTTTCTGTGTTAATGATATGTATAATGTGAAATACTTCATCAACTGAATTAACCATAAACTTAATGGCAGACAGCTTTGAGAAGTTAAACAATTTCATTACTTAAGTAGTCACAACCAATATACAGCCTGACACTTTATATTATTTCTTATTTACACACGCTCTTACTTGGAATCATGAAGGGAAACGGAAAAGAGGAAGGCCAAACGACACATTGTGTCGGGAATCGGAAGCAGATATGATAAGGATGAATGGAAACTATAAATGATTGCTCAGAACAGGATTGGATGGAGAAAGCGTGGTTGGCAGCCTATGCTCCTCCATGAGTGGTAACAGGCGCAATTAATTAGGTAAACAAATAAATGTAACCAGACAATTACCTGATGACATAACAACAGTTAATCTCAGTAACTAAATATACCTGAGATATACTAATTCAACTCCCCCTTAAATATAACAGTCTTCAATTACTATTTTGGATCTACTAGTGTGACACTCATTACTTATGCGGACAGAAATAAATAGCATTTAGCAGAAATTGGGTGTAGAATGCTTAGCAGCAGTAATCGTAATAATAGTAAATTGGTTTACCGTATATGTGTTTCGTCCACGCCCTGAGATATATCCCTGTAAAACGGGTCAGAATAACTGTACTGGATACTCCTAAATGTATATAACTATATCTTTTTTTCAATAAAACCATGAAGAAAGTCTAAGTCATTTAAATGGTTCCATGTTAACTCATCATAAAAATATTAGATGGCTCAAGCTTAAAACATGGTCACAATTTTGAACGAAATAATATACTTAAGAAACTAAGTCAACGATAATATGTTGTTTTAATAATTGAGATCATGAGTCAATTGAATCTAGACCAGCATAGAAAACCTGGAAGCACTGAACAGCCGTTTCGTCTTACTGTGGGACACCTCAGCAATGTGCATCCACGACTGGCTTCAAGATGTATATCCTGGAGTTCTAGTGAAAAGCAGTGACCAGTTGAATTCAACCGGGTCAGTTGTGAGATAGTAACTCACTGATAACAATGGTGGATCTGTCGCTCAATTTCGTGGATTAGTTGAAGTTCGACATTAACACCGTTGGATACCGGCTCAGTGGTTTAATGATTAAGCGCTTGCACGCGAGACTAAGAGGTCTTGGGTTCGAATCCCACACAGCAGGGTCGTGGATGCACTCTGCTTATGAGTCCCACAATAGGACGAAACGGCCGTCCAGTGATTCCAGGTTTTCTATAGTAGTCTAGCTTCAATCGACTCATGATCTTAGCTGTTGTTACTCATAAAATACACCATCAACAAGGTCATTAAAAGATAATACTAATACTAATACTAATAATAATAATAATAATAATAATAATAATAAAGGGAAGAACAAAAATTCGATTCGAGATTAATCTTACCGGTATTGAAATTCATTTTTAGAAGATTTTAACTTGATTGTTTCATTATTATCAAAATAATTAAAACGATGAGTATCCGATGGTTTACGACTTGGTGCACGCCATGGTATTAATTTAGATGTATCAGTTAATTGAATCATTTTATCTATACATTTATGATGTATAAAATAATGATTATTTAATTCTATTATATACTTACAGTTTCTATTTAGATCATGTTTTTTATCATAATCACCATGGTTACTACTGGTACTACTACTATTAGTAGTAGTAGCAGTAGTATTAATGGTAGTATCAATATTATTGTTCTCATAATGATCCTGATGATGATTATTTACAAAATTCAATGTATGACATCTTTTATTGAATAGTTCTTCTGAACATCTTTCTCTTGTATCACCATTTTCTTTATTGATTAACTAGAATTCAGGGAATTGAGAAGGAATTGATTTAAATTAACAAAAGAAAATAGTTGAACATTATTGAATACAATAGTGTTTTATCATAGAAAAAAAAGGATATTAGTTATGGAGAGATTTAAATCAAGTCAGTGTTGAATATATTTCTCATTTGAATATAAGACCCTATTTTAAAATAATGGTTAATTAGTGAGCAATGATGGATAGTGGCTAGCAGTGGAATCCAGTTTGACGCGCGTTTCGTCCTATTTGGGACTCGTCAGCCGGATATACCTGGATCTCAGAGTTGATGTTCACTCTGGGACTCGAACCCAGTACCAATCGCTTCAAACGCCATCGGGTTATCCACTCAGCTACTGAGTCCTGATAGCCACTTGCTTGTGCAATAGAGTGAATTTAAATTCTCTTGGTATTATTTGGCTTGTATCTTCCCATTGATGTTTAAGACTGCAATTGATCAGTTAGGGTTCTAGTCCCAGAGTGAACATCAACTCTGAGATGCAGGTACATCCAGCTGACGAGTGCCAAATAGGGCGAAACGCGCGTCCAACTGGATTCTACTGCTAGCCACTATCCATCATTGCTTACAAAAAGCTTGTGAATTAAGGCAATATCGAGGCATGCGCACAGCATGCACATATGTCAATAACAGACTGATCAATTACAGTTTTAAACCTCAATGGGAAGATACACGCCAAACAATACCAAGTGAATGGTTAATTAGGTTATATGATTGTGTACTAAACTATTTACTCACATCTTCAATTATGATCAGGTTTGTTTCTATTGTCTCCTTTTTCTTGTTTACCTGTTAACGAAAGACAGAAGGAGCAATTCAACCCCATTGTTTGTTTTAATACATCATTATAGCTATTCATTGCATAACTTCCTATTTAGGTGAGTTTCTGAAAAGTGTACAATCTTTCGTTGTACAAATTACAAAGGGCTCAATCAAAGATATTGTGGTTGCTGGCAGTATGCAACAAAAAGAAATTACATTATTTAGATGTCGATTGACTGAACTGTTAACATCTAACTGGCGCTCACTCAATATGTAATCGTCACGAACAACCATGAAATAAGAAACGGAAACTTGTTGAAATACTATGTGCTGAGAATTCTAAATAATGAGACTATAATTTATGGACGACATTTGAACGACACGAAAGTGACCTTGAGAGTGTCTACCTACTAACTAGGGCTAAATTAAGGTTATAAAGCAGTTTGGAGAATAAGGTTTATGATATAAAGTGGATGGTTAGGGTTAGAAATTAGATTTCGGGTTTTCATCGCGAACTGTCATCAGCTAAAATGCCAAGACTCTATTTAGCCAAATGAGTGAATGAATTTCATGCCAAAATCTAAGACCTGTTATCTTAAACCTGATTGGTTCGTTCAAAACTAGTATCTCGTCGAATCTATAGAATTCCAAAAGAGTACACTGCCTATGAACATAAAAGATTTTCTTTTGTATCAGTCACCTTAAGAAATGCACACATTTTATTGCCTTTGTCAATTCAACAAAGGTTATCCATCAAGGTTATTTAATTATAACAGCCATCGTTCATTCATCAAAGCTGATAACATCCTAATGGAAGTGTTATATCTGGTGTTGCTTCTGTTTTGGATGTATCAACTCTGTTCTATCCGCGGTCCTCCTGTTTATACTTAGAAAGAGGAACAGTTGCACATTCAACTATGCAAAGTAAAGACACAAGAACTGGCACAAATGAAGATTTATTGACCCTCTATAAACACTTACCCAAAAAAGTTGTAAAACATTATACCTTTCAACCGAATACACTTATTTATATGCTAATTCTACACACACTTGATGATGAGAGAGAAAAATAACTTTTCTCAGTGTATAGGATTTATGGAATTGTAGAATTGTATGAGTCACTTAAACGACGATCAAAAGATCAGGAAGCACCAAACAGCTATTTTTTCTTATCATAGGATTCTTCAACAGTACATTATAATGACCCTATCAAAGAGGTTCGAACTCAGAATCTCCAAGTTTCCCTGGAAACACTAAACCTTTAGACCATTGATTTGCACATCCGATTTTAATTAATTCACAATATTACGTAGCCACCTTTCAATAAACTCGTTGGTTAACTGGTTGGAATCCACAGGACACAGCTTCTCATCAAAATCTCAGGAATCACTTTTCGAAGTCATTCACTTGTGAGAGGAGGTGATACATTTTTTGGGGGGAGCCCCATGGTAGGATGAAACAGATGTTCACCTAAGTATGGTCACAATGTGGTGTAAACTAAAAAACGTTTCTCATTGAATAATGTAAGAGTATTGTGTTTGACTATGGTCGATATATATCAAACCATAAAACGTCATTATTATTATTATTACTATAATAAATATGCTCACCTTCTCTGAAATATGAAACTGAAGATAACGTATGTTTTGAATATAATGCTTCTTCCAAATTCCAGGTTCCCATTGACTATGTGAAGCGATTAAATCCCATCCATATCTTAAACACTTCGATGCCCATAATTCATTTGATTCAGTTAGATATCTCCAATACCATGATACCTAGAGAAAACGTTTTAGGGTAAACAGTGATTAGAAATATGGAACACACAATTTACCGATCTAAGTTGACAAAGATTAAGACTATGACAAGATGAAGAGGCGAAATTACATCTTCAATTTCGATAATACAATGAGAAGTCTAAGTTTATCAGAATTATGTAATGATAGATTTGCGCAATACATTTCGAACAATCTGATCATACAGTGTATACTTGTTAAGACATTTTTATATGAACATGCAAAGGTCAGCTATACAAGTTGAAGGTAAGCCGTAACAAATAAATAAAGTACTCAAAGACAATGTGATAATCATTCTGGATAATAAATAATTATTACCAGGGTAAATTAAATGTAAGGATAAATTGTTTTTGAACTCATAAAAGGAGTTTTGATGGAGTTCCGCTCTCTGAGCTGAATGGTTTAGTCGTAGAGCTTTCAAATCTTCTTCACTATCACTATAAAGGGGATTTCAGTTTCCGTATAGTCAAGGCTTCAATAAACCTTAGTATGTGTCCTTGAAGGCTTTTATACAATATTACATTTTTAATTGATTATGATTCTTGTCCAAAATTACTTCCATATTCTAATTCAATATAATAATTATTCAGTGTGATGTTTATTAAAGATAAAATATTCTTGTGTTAAATTAACATAAATCATGTTCAGCATAATATACAGTATGTGATTTGTTATTAGTTTGGCCGTTTTCCATAGATGTCACTTTTCCTAATTCATAAATAAAATTGTATACAAATCAATATGTAACTAAGTGTCTTTTCTACAGTAGTCGTCGTCATCGTATTCCCGGGGTGAGTAAATCTCCAGTTGTACCAGTCTTCCGTGTCCATAATTCGCGTTGTCGGAATCGTTTTAAGAATAAATAATAAACGATGCGGATATAACAGATTTAAAACCTGATCCGCTAGTTTGTCACTTTAGCCTGATACTCCATTGTCTAATTTAAACATTGCCCAACCAGGGGTTCTATAATACTCGAGAAGTTCTTTAAAGGCATCCATAATTAAAAGCTTACAGTCTAAGTAGATTCTCCACTTTCATAGGTTATGTTTCATAGTTATAGAGTAATACAAAGGGGGCTACTATGTGAGTCAGTCAGCTACAACGTAGGACCAGGCACATATGTGCATCGGTCCAGGTTTCCATACCGCATCAGCACAACAAGATGAACACCGGATTCATAGCAGTGGTTAGGTCAAAGGTGGTAATATATAAGAGAAAGATTGCATATAGAGATATAGTACAAGAAGAAGGAATTGGTTCGTAGAAAGAAAGATATGAAGCAATTTTAATCTCTTAGTTTAAGGGAAGACAGGGAGTGTATACACCGACGCCATTGTGATCGATTCTGAGCCATGGCATCAAGAGTCTCCAACCATTGGTTACGATAGTCACGCGGACCCCAACCAAGTAGTCTGCATCTACCAACATGGCTCAGACTAGAAGTTAGTGACTTTAAGCACTGATGACACGTTTTGGTTTGGCCGCCCCTTACTTTCTTCCAACCATCTCCAATACCGGATTGCATTGCAGTATAGTCGGCTCTTAGTTGTTAAATAGACATCTTGCTACAAGTAACGTAGTTTGATAAATATCAACCGAGTGTTTTGAAGTCCAATCGAGATTTTGACGATTCCTATTCACCGGGGGTAATGAGGCTTTCATGACAAATAAAGTGATCAACTCAGTGAATAATTTATTCTGTCCAGCTAACTTAAATACTAACATAGGTCAGTTCTAAAGCAACATTCTGAATTTAGAACGACAGAAAAGTGTCTCAAACAAATTCGTTGATAGATTAGTGTAGAAAATGATTTTAAAAAATAAGTTGCAAACAGAGAACCACTAGAGAATACAAAGCACTAAAACGTTTCATTCATGGTATTTTATAAACACTGATTAATGTTAACTATCATTTTCTAACATTATGACAAAGGGACTCTACTTTCTCTTCAAACAACGTGTAATTAGAGACTTTTGACTGAAACTTAGGTTCGATTTCTGATAAGCAGTAAATTTTCAGTCAAGCGAGATGTGTATCAGATATATCTAAATGGTCATTAGTAGTATATAAGATTAAGAAACAGAGTAAATAACATATGATGAGGTTTAAACTCTTGATTTTGAAATCATAATAAAGTGAACTATATCCATATAGAATAACTTGAATGTAGCTAGCAGTAGAATACAAGACGCAAGTTTTTTCCCACTTAGGTCTCTTCAGCTAAATTTTCTTGCATCCTGGGATTGATGCTCACTTCAGGATTCAAACTCAATCTCTTTTGCTTCAAATGCTAATGGGTTATCCACCTGGCTACTGAGTTTAAATAGCTACTCACCTGTACAACAAGATCATTTAAACCGTTACATGAAATACTAAGTCTTTATTATTCACTGTAATTTCTGGCGGTATGACGCAGTATTTTCGACAAAGATACCGCCATCTATACTTCACGAAGAGGTTCACTCAAAAATGGTTCATATTTAGGTTGATTAGTTTACTAGTCAATTTAACTACCGATAAATATTTGCTACTGGACTGTTCTTCGAATTAATTATAAATAGCTGATATAACAAGCCAAAATGTTTGCGACAATGAATGATCATGTTATTGATAAATAACCACCAAAGAAATGAGTTTGTCTTTAAGTCAGCTTCATGCTATTCACTCAAACCATAGACCTAATCAAATCTGTTTTTGTTTAAATAAGTATAAAGCAAGATAACAATATGACACTTTTGATACTGCTTATTCATGTGATTATTTATCAAATTTTATCCATGTCTAATGTCATATATATATGACTATCAGTTTTCCTATTTATTCACTTACTGTACTGAATATGTGGTTTCACAAGTTGATTCAACAGTATAATTGACGACTGACTGACGCAGAAATTCATTAAAAATATGCTTGGTTTTTTATATTTAACAACTTAACACAATGACTGATCACTACACCAATTCACATATAAAACACACTTCATAAATTCCATGTACTTTTTATGCACATGGTCTAGTGAACTAGTTTACTTGAAGAATATTCATTCTCAAGACATTTCCTATCAATTAGTCTAGTTAATCGGATTAAATAAACAGGTCAATTTAAAGAATGTGTGGATTTCACTGATTAGAATCATGAGTCAACTGAAGCTAGACCACCCTGGAAAATCTGGGAGCACTGGACGGCCGTTTCGTCCTAGTATGGAACTCCTCAGCAGTGCGCATCCACGATTCGCCCCCCCGCGAGATCCAAACCCAGAACAAAGTCACCGCATGCAAACTTATTCAAATGGTTGGAGTTAATTAGAGCGATCAATATTCGTATACTTGGATACAGAATATGCAATTGAATTTGTTATCTTTTTTTAGTTGTAAGCAGATTTTTCAAGTTCATATTGACCACACAGAAAATATTGGTAACATTTAATTTTGAACGTGCTTCCACTGTTCTGATTTATACTATAGACCAGTTATGCGACTAGGAACTCACGTTATGTACAAATGTTATTCATGACCACGAGTTTTTGTATTATAACAATGGATATAACATCAATAGCGTGTATTTACTGAGCTATTAATTTCCTTTTCTATAAACCTTTAAGAAATGTTTCTTTACAATGTTTATATGAAATGTACAGAAAGTAATTGACACTATATAAGTATATGAACAATATTATTGTTGTTAACTGGTTTATGAAATTGAATGTCTTTGTTAAAAAAAACTAGAAGACATCCAATGAATAGCTAATACTTACCTGTGCACAGCGACAGAGACTTCTAGGATCCAGAAAAGAAAACAGATAAATGCATAGAACTCTTGGTAGTATTCTAGTAAAATCTATTTGGTATAAAGGAATTTTATTTTCTATATTGTGAAAAAGTGACTCAAGTTGTTTCTGAGTGCATAACTCGAAAAGTTTCGTCATTAACTCCTTTCTTTGACTTTCTGACCATTTGGCAAACTAAAGATTATGTAAAACGCAATCTTATTTCATACCCAAGCTAAAATAAGATGTTTTCGTTCTTCAAAAAGCTAAAACTGACAAGTAATGGAGGAATTAAACAAAACAATACCGTTTTATTTGCGTCTTTGTTCACCAACGGAGTCCACGAACTTTTAGTTTGTATCATCTATGATGTCCAATATTTGAATTCTCTGGTCTATTCTAAATGTATGTTATCGAGGTATTGTGGTAAAAATATACATGTAGAAATCTAAAAGAGAGAAAAAATAAGATGTATTTACAGTTGTAAATGGATACAACTGATTAACCGTCTAAGCAATCAAGTAATCCACTGGATATTGTAAAGTGATATTTCCGTTTTTGCCCACAATTCTCTGAGTCCAATTGTAGTGCGATACTGTTGATAATCGCTTAGATATTGTTTATAAAACCAAATTATCATCTTTTTATTTTTTTACATCACCTACTCTGTTAATCCTTCCACTTCGGGCCACAAATTTCTAAAATATCTAAGTTTGTCTCAACCCCACTGTCATAGTGACTTATTTGATTTATTTGAGTTACTGGTAGTGTGCAGTCTTATCATGTAGTCATGCCTATGGGTTTTAAATCATACCTCTACAAATAAATTCTCCTTTGGCTCAGACTCAAGTCACCGAGAGTAAATACGTGTTGGTAAATTTAAGTAGCTAACTAAACTACAAACACGTTTTTACAGTAATGGGCAGCACTTCATAAAAAAATGATCGATCAGATAGTTTAAGAAACCAACTTTTGTTTCATGAAATGTAAATTCATATTGTTGGATTACATTAGGATTGCACAAAATATTTCATTTTCTTATGACTTTTAGCAGGGTTAACAGCTTATATATACATTTAGTGGCCTCCATAGATATATGTTAGCCATGAAAAAGTATGAGGTAAGATAATGATTACAAATATTCAAACCGTTTGTTAGAAAAGATAAAATAAGGGTGGTCGCCAATGTTAGCGATCTTGTTGAACAGTAGGTCATATATACACAGACGGATTATAACGTCGTGGAATATTCATATGTTAGCACGCTGTAAGATGAATCTCTATCGCTTGTAAATAAGGTGCATGTCATTATACATAAGTACCTTGAAAAAATGTTTTGACTGTCATCATATGGTGTCATGAGAGATTGATTAGTGTTAACTGGTTGTGGATGTCAATAACAACTTAAATAGCCTTAAAGACTGAACTGTTTCATGAAACTTAGTACATTGTGAAATCTTCATCGACAAAATTTTGACTAGGAACTGATAAAGCGCTGTGCTGAGTAACACTTAAGTGACCCTATAAACCCAATAAGAGATCGGAAACGCCGACGCCAGTATAAAAGACAGCAAAACTTTTAACAAAAACGTGAGGTCATAATTTATGGACGAACTAATCAGATTTGGGATAACAGATTTCGGATTTTAGAGCAAAATCCACTCATCAATTCGCCGAATAGCGTTTTGGCAATTTAGCTGATGACAGTTTGTGGTGGAGACCCTAATTACAATTCCTACCTTTAACCGTGAACTGTAAATCATAATCTTTATTCTTCAAACTGCTTTGTAACCTTAATTTAGACCCAGAAAGTAGGTCGACATTCTAAGAGTCACTTTAACGTCGCTCGAAGCTCGTCTATACATTATAGCCTCATCCACACCATTTATGCTGAATTTCGCATATCATAAGGTCTGATTTCCATTTCCACTTGGTATTTAACACATATTTATGCATATGTATATATTTATTGGCATTAAACGGTAATATTAGCCACTAAAAGCAAATTTAAATAACTTGACTCCTTACGCAAAACACGCAAAACTAGTCATGAAAAGGAATGCAGTTTTACCAAATGATTCACAGCATATCATAATCAGAAACGCCATTATGAGATTTATCAGTCATTACTAATCAGCTGTGCCAAAGTAACGGAATGGTTAAGCAACCTATTTAGTGAACGTGGTTCAGCTACACCGATTCATAACATGAAGCCCTGGATGAAGTTGTAAATGGGCTACAATCATTCCCTATTTGAGGTACCATGTATAACGACCGACAGACGCCAAAAATATACATATTTTTTCTCACGAGAAAAAGTGAGTCAACTCAACAACCTGTTAAATGCGCTCATATTTATTCACGAAAGCAGTCGTTACCAAGTGGCAATGACTCAAATGAAGAATCAGAACAAGTTGATAATCTAAACGACGGTTTAACAGAATAAAGGTTTAAGCGCATTATGAAATCATAACGGTATTAAAAATAAAAAACTGAATGACGCACAATTTACATTAGTAACCATTCTGTTGCTCAATATCCAATATCATTCTTCAGTAATAATGATAGTTAGTTGATGAATCTGCGTTATTTTTGACAGATTGCCTTGTATTGAATGTCCAGTTTCTCCTTAAAAATGTCCACTGATGAAGCTAGTACCACCTGTTCGAGTAAAGCGTTCGAGTCATTGGCCACTCGATGAGAAAATCGGAACTTTACTTTAATTTTGCTATGTCGTGATTTGTGAACCCTCTTGCTATGACCTCGGAGATTATTACTGCTGGAGAGAACAAGAAGATAAGACATATTAACACCCAAATCGTAATTAAGGATACGAAATACCAGTAAAAGATCACTACGCGCTCTACGATACGACAAGGGGAGAAGGTTTATGAGTTTTAAAAAGTTTTAGAAAGACCATTCACTAATTTTGTTCCCACACTCTGAACATACTCAATTGAGTTAGTATCCTTTATCAGACATGGGCTGGCTGCTTGGATACAGTACTCCAAGTGTGATCTTACATAGGTGAGATATAAAATTCGAAACATTTCCTCGTCAAAGCATTCCGAAGCTCAAGAGCTTCTAGATAAAACCCAAGTATGGAACCTTGTCAAAAATTTACTAAGGTCTATGAATATCACATCGACTAACTGAATGTTGTCTGGGTCACTGTCCGATCCTCTCACACACTGAGTAAGTTGGTCGAACATGAATGCTTGTTTTCGAAACCCGTGTTGCTCGGGAGTTAACAGATTGTACAATTCTATGAGATCTAGTAATTTAACCCAAATTATCTTTTCAAGCAACGTAACGACTATGCTGGTTGGACTAACAGGCCGATGGTTAGATACGATCTGTCTCTGACCATCTCTCAAATCCCTAGGGAGTTGAGTAAGGGAAAGGGATATGTTGAAGAGCATCGCGAATGGTCTTGAAACAATGTCTGCGAGAGAAGATAGCAATCGTGGATGGAACCCATCAAGGCCCGGTATCTTGCAAGGTTCAAGGTTAATAATCAGTGGAAGAACAGTCTTCCAAGTCACATGAACAGGTCCTATGGCTGGTATCTCAGTGGTGTGACTAGGATAAGTATTTTTAACAATGCATGTGGAGTAGATTTCGACGAAATAGTTTGATAATCTCAGCCTTTCCCAGATCTGATTCAGCTAGTGAATCTGAATATTCGCGCAACAGTAATGCGGGAACACCATCACTACGTTTTGTCCTCCATTTAACGTACGAAAACAATCGCTTCGGACAAGTACAGTTATTACATACCCACTGTCTTCCGTAAATAGTACGGTATATATCCGTGGTGTTTTTGCATATATTCCAGATTTTTCGGTATTTACACTTAAATGATTTGTGTCTTGTCGACAAGAATAATTCCCAGAAGTGTTTTCGGGTTTCCTTATTACTCCATTCGTTCGTTAATCACCTGATAATCAGCAAGAAGATGCCTAACTAAATGGACTCGAAATTCTGTTTGCAAGGGTAAGGTTAATCCAGGATGCTTTTGTTGTCAATGTTCCTGCAAATAATTAGATTTCTCAAGTATCTGTCTCATTTACTTTTCGTTACATGGACAGATTGGTTTTCAATTTACAATCACCACAAATAACTAATATGGAAGTATCACGGATAACTTAGGCCATGAGTACTCATACCTTTAAGAAGGTGATTTGCATGTTATTTGTTTAAATAATGTGGTACAGAAAATATAGACTTCACATAAACAAACCTTGTTTGATATGGATTAAATCGTTTTTGGATCTATTACTAACACAAAAATTTGGCAGTCGTCCACACACTGTTAAGCTACGAGTATTATGTACGAAGGAAAGCGACGTTTTGGAAACCAACATTGATGTTATCCTCATTTTTTATTGTAAATAATTCTTAAGCTAACTATTTTGCTGGAGTCTAAACTCAGTGAGTCCTATGGTTTACTTTTTTGTCTAAAATTCAAAAAAGGAAAATGAAGGGGAATTTAAGGCACACTTACTTGATACCAAATATAACCGTGCTATGACATCTCTCTCATACAATTTAAGCAAACGTAATTGTATATTTATTTTGGAATACGATATCTAACTGGGCATAAAGCTGTCAAGTGCATTGTTTCACTCCTAATGATTAATAGCGTTCCTTTGTGTGATTATGTCAAATGCATTGCATGTGCATCCTTCTCATATTCCTTTGTTTATCGTCTGTCTATTTATCTGCCTGGTGATCGTATTCGATTATCATAGTGATTTCTAAGCACTTGAGGTGTCAATGTAAATTTTATCCCCTGATAGACAGGTCTGTATCCTGCGATAATCCAACACTAGTTGCGTTCAGTCAATACAGTTAAAGTTAATTAAATATTACTACTATATTTGCTAGTGAATTCAGGTAGTGTAATGTACATCTGTGATATATGTACAAATCGGTGATTTATTTAAACTAAGTTTCCCGCTTACTACGAATTATAAACATAATGCATTCAATTATGCTTATCATTTTTTCCCGTTTTGTGCTGTACAATTCTGGTAATTTCTAGATTTAGGATCCAAACTAAGGTTCGGACTGAAGAATAGCTGTCTAGATGGGTTAGATACGCGCCCTTGCCGGTTGAAACGAAACAACGTAATTGGGTAAAATGACGTTCTAAAATTCATCATAGATTTAAATGTACATTGTGACCTAAAAAAATACGACCACCCCACTACTCAACCAATAATTGTTCAATTCATCAAATATAAATTGCAATAAATAAGGAAATTAATAAAGGATGCGAGAAAATTACCAATCACAACAAATAAATGCTACTTTATCCTATCTGGATAAACCACGCACAGATTCATTCAAAAGATAATAT